TGCTTTTCATGCTGATTCGAGTTCCATTTTAGTTGTTCTTGTCATCTCAAAAGAAGAAAAGAATTCATCAGAATGTAAGTTTAGGTCATATTTAAACTTCAAAAGTCTGTTTACTCTTTGAGACAATAAATGTGGCTGGTATTTGAACAGTGAAATTCAAAATGGGATAAAAAGTATGGTGAGTGTTTAAATAAAAATTACTACAATAAAAGACACACAGCCATTCATGCTACCCCTCAAAATATTACTTTTAACTTCAAATGTCTTTTGGAAACATTTCTTGAAGTCTTCTTTCAGGAGTACCTTTAGCTGTGCCATGTGGCTGCCCCAGGACCTGAATGGCTTCAAAATATTTGTCACTCAACCTCATTTTAACTTTGTGGAAAATTCAGAAGATACCAGATCTAGAGAAAGCTGGGTTAGGACACACCATAATGTGGTTCTAGCCTGCCTTTCACATGGAGGGTGCTTGGCATAAGCTTTTAAACAAGTTTTTGATCACATCATAAAGACCTTCACGAAAGAGGACTTTTGGAACCGCTTCAGAAAGTGGCAGGAATGATGGGATAAGTGTGTTCCAAGTCAGGGAGAAGAGGATTGTAAGCGGGATTCATGGCACTACTTAAAGGTTTATGGTGTAGTCTGATCTCCCTTTTGTAAAATAAAATCCTTTAAAACAGTATAACAGGGCTGGAGGTTTAGCTCAGGGATGCAAGCGCCTGCCTGGCAAGCATAAGGTCCTGAGTTCAATCCCCGGTACCAAAAAATGAACAAACAAACAAAAGCAGTGTAACAAAATACTACAAGAATTGCTGTGGATGCTTATAAATTACAAAAAGGGGTTCTGATACAATGAATCTGTCTTCAGGTAACAAGAATATTACCCTCTCTGTTGCACATGTATAGAATGACTGCACTCCAGAGAGAGAAAGCTGTTGGGCCCTCATATCAGGGCCATTAGTATGGAATATTTCCCTGGAAAGTATGATCACACTGGGCACATGACATGGGGAAGGTAGGAGGGACTCTCACAGCAGCATCATTGGCAGATGTTTGTGAGCTCTTGCATGAGAGCAAATTTCCATCAAATACAATGACTCACTGCTCTAGTAGCTCACTGATTTCTTCTCAGTCGACAGCTCCTTCATGGTTAACTATGCTTTTGGCATTGACTGATTTTGTGAAAGAAAAAAGATTTGGTTGGGACATCGAGGGATCTGAGTTTTCCTGTGGGAGAGTGGTGTTACTGAAGGAATAGGTGCTCTGAAATTGGACAGAGCATTCTTCATCGCATAACACTCTCACAGCCTTGACTGCTCACTCTGTAAAAGGGGGATCATCTGATACTCCCCTACAAGGGCACAGATGAAAGTCAAATGTGATGTGATTGACTGGGTATTGGGTTTGTTGCTAGGGCTTTGGTCGTGTCAGCTACAGGGGAATTTCCCAGAGCAGCTTGTTTTGGTGAAGTTACCTATTTGAAGGGGAATTGATCAGGGTCAGTGGCTTCACAGACACAAGCATAAAGCCATGGGCTACAATTGCACTGGATCCTCTGTTTTCCACCCTCTAAAAGGGGTCTGGGATTGCACCCTCTGAGAAGTCCCTCCTGAACTTGCACCATGGTCATCTGTTAGGTTGCATGGAAACTCAGTATTCTTAGAGGTGAGGTTGGTGCTAGATTTCTGTCACTTCTCAGCAGTTTAGACATCTAGAGCTCTGAATGCAGTGAACTCTCAATTTCTACCTCCTATGGCTGACACATTTCTTGCATTCTCTTTTCTTATCCCAGACTGATGGCATTTTCTTTGCTTCTTTTTAGTGCTGAAATACTTTATTTTAGTTTATTGCTGTTTTTGATAACTTTCAAATATTTTAACAGTGATGGTAATGTACATATACTATCTCCTTGTTTCAAAACTTTAAAATTGCAAGTGAAGCTAAAATTGCAAATGAAGCTAGAAACACATTTGATTACACAACCAAGTGTATTTATTGACCACTGTTTTCAGAGGTGGTGATGGGTAATTTGGTGTATATTGTCCCAGATTTCTTCTTTATGTTTTTATGTGTGCATTTACATAAGTAAAATCAAAAAATGTTCCTAATACTGTGTGGTACTCATTACACTACCTTTATTGTTTTGAATGTATCCTGCCAAATTAGCTGTACTCATACCCATAAAATTACCCAAATTTCAAACTTCTGTCCAGTGTTTCTTAGACTATTGGAAAGTTTATAGTACTATTCCTCTTTTGGAAAGAATTAATTTGAAGTCTAGCTTTTTCTCATTGTAGACATAGTGAAATGAACATCATTGTTATTCCCTTCTATGTTTCTTAAGGGTAGAGATAAAGTAAAGGGATTTTCTGAATCATTAGACTACTAAGCTTTTCAGTGAAAATTAGTGGAAAAGTGCCAAGTAGAGGCCCTTTCCTTGGACTTGTGCTATTAGCATCTTCTTTCATGGCCTTACCAGCTAGTTTGATATTCTTGTTTCTTAACACTTTACTTGTGTTAAGTAAATCATATAATATTCATGTTTCAATTCAGTTTCTGTGGTTGTTAATGAGATTAGGTATCTGGCAGGTACACTGGGCTGTGAGATTCCTCTCTTCCTGCTTGGTGTTATGTATCCTCTATATTGCAATCCAATGAGTATCTACTGTGTTTATTCAACAGTTCTGGGCATTCTCTGTATGTTCTAATTTTAACCCCATGTAACATACAGTGTGCCATTTCTCCTGTCTGAATGGAATAATTTTATATAAGAGTGCATTTTAAAAAAAAGAGTGCATGTTGGCACACATCCACTTAAAGTAATATATAATACAATTTATCTCATTTTACTTACTGTTAATGATTTGTATGTTTTGTTAAAGAAGACCACCCCTACAACAAAATCATCATTTTATTCTTTACTATTTCTTGTCATATTTTTACAGTTAGGACTTTTTAGTTAAAGTGGTTTGGGGTAGAATTTCAAAATCATTTATTTTTTCAAATTCTTTAATATATAGTAGTACATTTTTATGGTGAATTCACTTTTATTTCCTTATTTTTAAAGCAACATTTATTCATGCTCACTGATGTATGTCAATAAGTCAGCTCGTGCTACTCCTAGTTTTTCTATAGGAACAACATCTTGCTGCTTGTTTTAATGATAATGGTTTTATAATCTGTGTTGATATCTAGACTAGAAATGTTCTTCTTTTCCTTTTCAAAACTCTCTTGGCTCTTTTGCAGCATTTTCTTTTTCATAAATTTTAGTTTGAGTCATTTCATTAAAACATTTTAAAAGTAGAGTTGGAATCACATTGTTTATCAAATAATTTGATAAACACTTTAGATTAACCTGCCTAAGTGAACCAGGTGCAAACCAGTTATCTGACCAAATCAGCTGAGGGACCCACGGCAAGGAAACAGACTGCACACTCTTGAATGCATGAACGTCTTTCAAAACAGAGGAACAGCGGCATCAGTGTAGCCATGAGGAGGAATAATATGCAAAGTTGATAGCAAAGCAGAGCTGTGTGCATGTAAAAGAGAACACAATGGATCCGAACAGCAAAGCAGACCCAGGACTCTTTTTCCTTGGAAACCACAAAGTTAGGATAGATGTGCCACAGGGTATTTGCCACTCCCTGCCTGGCATTCTTGTACTAGTGTTAAGAACTGAGCCTGTTTCACTTCATAAAAGTGATGCAGCTGTTCCAGATGTGAAAGATAGATTTCATCAATTGATGTTATTTAAAAAAAAAAAAAACTGAGATGCCATATTACTTTAGAAAGTCAGATTTCTCATAGAATATAAAAACAGTAAGTAGCCGCTCAGAAGGAAGTGCTGTGAGGGTACAAGAGAAATATTATTTCCCAGTAGCCACACGGTGGCTTTACATGTCTCTGCTACTCCAGCTTCGGAGAATGGTCTGAGGGGCAAGAAGGATGAATCTTCGTGAGCTGAGTATTTTGATTCATAAGATACACAGAGTCAGTCAAAAAATGTGAAGACCCTTCAACAGTTCGTTGTATTAATAAATATGTGGGAGCTCATGGTCACCATGGTGAGTGCCTTTTGTAATTGTAGATGGCAAAGGTAACTTGTGTTAGTCTCAATAAATTTAGTATTATCATACTTATGCAAGTTTTTCTTTTCCTGATATATACATTGGGGGGCTAGAATCTATACATAACTTGTCACTCCTATACTCACTTCTCTATTTCAGTAAGTTTCATAATCTGCATTTTTACATAAATCTTACAAATTTGTTGTCAAGCTTATTCATGTCAATTCAAATTGATGACTTTTCATGTCACAATTAATGTTCACATCTTTCATATTGATCTTCAACTACATTGTTGAAATCTTTCATATTTAAAGAATGTGTCTTAACTGACATTTCTAGATTTTCTTTTGGAAGATCATCATTTTGCCAGGAAATGTTAGTCATTTTCTCATTGTAATTTTTCCAAAATTCTTACAATTCTTTTTTTCAAAAAAATATTTAGAATTTGTGATCTATTACCGTGTTAATTACCTAGGTTATGGGTGACTTTATAGTTTGTGATTATACATGAATGTTTCTCCTGTTTATCACTGCACACATGTGTGTGCTCTGAGATTCTTTTTATCAAATTAAATAGTTCTTTTAAATTCCGGTCTGGAAATCTTTTCTGAGAACACAATTTTATTAAGTTCTCTTTCAAATTTTAATAAAATAATGAAAATGCTCTTTTCCTCATGTCTCTAGGAGTAGTGAATAATTTCATAGGTATTCTAACCTTGAACCATTTCTTAAACTCAAGCTTTCTCTTTAAATCACTGAAGTCAAATTACTCTTTAGGCTGTGGTATATCTGATTTGTTAGTGCTTTATGCTATTTTTAAAATCAGTGATTCTAACTACGTTTCCCTTATGATTTATTTTTCTGTGGGTTGCTATGGTTTTAGACAGGCAATGTGTTATCCATTCTCTATTTTTTTTCCACTGTAGAAAAAGAACCAAGTGATGCTGGAAGAGAACTATACGCAGATCACAGAATTCATTTTCGTTGGTTTAAAATGCCAACCTCAGCTTCAGGTCTCCCTTTTCTTGCTCTTTCTGCTGTTTTACCTCATTACCACGACAGGAAACTTGGGCATGATCATTCTCATCCACGCTGATTCCCGCCTCCACACACCCATGTACTTCTTCCTCAGCCACCTGTCCTTTGTGGACATCTGCTTTTCATCTGTCGTCAGCCCCAAGATGCTCAGGGACTTCTTTGCCAAAAGGAAAGCCATCTCCTTCCTCGGCTGTGCCTTGCAGCAGTGGTTCTTTGGGTTCTTTGTGGCCATTGAGTGTCTCCTGCTGGCGTCCATGGCCTATGACCGCTACGTGGCCATCTGTAGCCCACTCCTATACTCCATCTCCATGTCCCAGAGGCTCTGTGTTCAGCTAGTGCTCGGACCCTACGCAGCTGGTTTCCTGAACACCATGACTCACACGATAGCTGCTTTTCGACTGCCCTTTTGTGGCTCCAACATCATCAACCATTTCTACTGCGACATGCCTCCTCTTCTCTCCCTGGTGTGCGCTGACACTCGGATCAACGCATTGCTGGTTTTCATTGTGGCCGGAGCTATCCTGGCTGTAAGTAGCCTGACCATTGTCACCTCCTACTCTTTCATCCTCGCTGCCATCCTGAGGATCCGCTCTGCCTCTGGGAGGCGCAAAGCCTTCTCCACGTGTTCCTCCCATCTCACGGCCGTCTCCATCTTCTATGGGACGCTCTTCTTCATCTATGTGAGGCCCAGCGCCATTTCTTCCCTGGACCTCAACAAAGTGGTGTCTGTGTTCTACACCACAGTCATCCCCATGCTGAACCCTCTCATCTATAGCCTGAGGAATAAGGAGGTGCACGCGGCCCTGGATAGGACCATCAGCAAGAGCAAGCTCTTCATCCAGGACAGAATACGTGTCAGAGGAGCAGCTCTCACACGGGATTAGACTACTAGGATGCTATGTGAAATTGCTGAAGCCCTTCCAGAATTTGTGCAGTGGTGTGTTTGCTTCCTAACTTTTATTTTGCTGTGTGCTTTTTGGACTGTTAATATTCATTAATGCATGTGAGTTATACAGAATAATGGGTTCACTGTGGCATTTTCACACACGCATGTAAGACACTTTTGTCTAACTGCATCCTTCTGTATCTCTCCCAGAACTTTCCTTCCAGGCCCTATCCCATAATAGTCTCCCCTCTACTTTCACCTTCCTTCAGAACTCCACTGAATTCTTCAGGTGAGAGTCAATGTACACCTGTCTTTCAGAGTCTGGCTGACTGAGTGTGGCATGATGATCTGTAGTTCTGTCCATTTTCTGGCAAATGATGTGATTTCGGAAGGAAAAGTCTCAGATATGGACATGCATCCTCCTCATAGTGCAGTATGGACACTTCTCAAAATTTTTTAATAGTTTTTCTCCGATAAGGAAGATTATGAAGGTTTTGGCTGTGGCCTTAGAGGGATACTCTTTGTCAGGTATGGGAATACACACATCAGCTGGAGTACAGTGCTCTGTGTCCCTCCTGTGTTATGAAGAGGCCGTGTCACCACACTGGATCATTGCTGTGTGCTGGATTCATGGGCACCATGGGAATTTGTGATGTCTGCAGATTTCTAATGCCTCACTACTTACCTCATTCAACATAGCATCACTTAGAACTATTATTTATATAAAGTAACAAAAGAGCATAATGGATTTTACATTTGTACACAGGTTGGTGTTCCTTACCTGTGAGGTTAATCTGGGGTTACAACAAGCTTTGATGGCCTAACCTTCTGGATATTCCTTATCTCCATCTTATGGTCATCTTGAGGAGCAATTCTGCTTTCAGGCACCGAATCCTCCTCAGACTTTTGTGACGCTTGAGCTCCATCTTGAAGGGGAATCACCTTCCCATATATTAATTACGTGCACAGAGCCAGCGTGTTGTCCTGGGATGGGGGGTAGTGAGTCCCATCATCCATGCAATTCCCTTTAAACAGAGCAGCTGAATTCCTGTGCAGGACAAGAAATGGAAAGGAAAAGAGCTTTCTGGCAAAGCAAACAAGCTGGACCTGCCTATGAGCCCTGGCTACTCAGCAATGCTTCCAAATCCAGGGAACTAGGGGCAGCTACCTGAACACGATTTACTTTTGCACCATTTTGGTGACCAGGTCTATCCCCTCCCTTCTTCAGAGAATGAAAATAAGAGTCCACACTCATTTCCAGAGGTCGAACCCAGCTGTCCAGAATCTGTGCTCACTGTGATTTTGAACCAGGCACCTTCTCTCTGCACTCTGTTCCAGGATAGTCCAACATGGCCCTGAACTGTGGCCTCCTTCAACCCCAGGGGAGTCAGCAGGAGCTCCTGTCGCTGGGGTAATGCTGCACAGCGCTGGTGCCCAAATCTACAGGGGTCAGAGCCCAGATTTCTGTAAGACAATTTTCCCTCAAACTGCAGGGTTCGTGTGTGTGTGCATGCGCGTGCATGTGTGTGCGTGTGCGTGTGCGTGTGTGTGTGCGTGTGTGTGTGTGTGTGTGTGTGTGTCCCAAGATTTTTAGTTATGTTTGTATTATTATTTTAACTAGTACATGTTTGTCATGCATACCATTTACTTGCCTTATGGAGAACTGGTATATATGCATAATACACCCTAATTCCTTCTTTTTTAAAAGAATTTATCATATTGGTACATTGATCGTAGGAAAATGTAAAATGCGCTTCTTCTTCTTCTTCTTTTTTCCCCATTTCCCTTCCTTTTAACCTTTCTTCCCCTCCTTATTTACAAGAGCTGTTTACATTTTTCTTTCTTTTCTGGCCTTTTGCTTTTCCCCTCCCTTTCGCTTCCCCTCCCTGTCCCTGTTCCACTCCCGGTCTGAACGTGTCCTTCCCTTTCCCAGTGTTTATCACCCACTGTGATCCTGCTTTCCAGGACTAAAGCTCTGGCAGTGAGGGAGGCCCACGGCTGGGTGCCTGCTCCAGGGCCTGCATCACTCACGATGCTGGTGTCATGTTCAGGTGAATTTGTTTTAGGAAGGATATGCATCATCTGAACAGTCAATAAACAAACAGAACAAAACAAAGTGTTTCTGCTTAGAAGGCTGAGCAGCAGGCAGTTGGATTCCTGTGCTGGTCACTTGGGTCCAGGGAACTGTGTTTCCACTTGGGGCCCACAGGGTCATGTGACCCCATGGCACCCCGTTGTTAGGGAGCAGTATGAGAGGAGGTGGGGTCCCCAGGGCAGGGCCTGGCAGGACTCCAGTGTCCCCTCACTATGAACCATAGACCTTGGCGGGGACCTCCAGAGAGCAAGGAGCCAAGAATGAGTCAGGCCCCAGAGTGCCCATTGCCTGACAACACCCAGTACTTCTGCAGAAGTTGCTGCAATAGGCACCATCACCCTTCATGCCCTAGCAAAGGAGGCAAGTTTCTCTCATTGTGTCAGGAGGAGTTTCTGGCCAACAAAGGGCTCCTGAGCTGGATATGGGCCTCAGTACACTGGAGACAGCTCTTGCTGCTGGACTTGGCCTATGGAGTGGACTGAGGTCTGGCAGGGCTTCTGTTTCAGATGCCCTGAAACCTCTGGCATTACAGGCGAGGACCACCAAGCCTGCGGTGTTGTGTGAGGGGCCCACCCACGAGCGGAGCCTGAGGCTGCTCAGAAGGAGAGGGCCACTGTCTCAGCAAGAGGTCCAGCAACTGCTGTCTCCAAAGATCTGCTGGCTGAGGCCACGGCCAGGAACATTTGAAGGTTTCTAAAGCAAGATTTTATCATTCTGCAGAGAGCAGCCAGAGACACCAGGAAGGTGGAAATAAATGCACTCCCCTCCCAGAGGCCCCAGAATACACATTTTAACATCTTTCTCAATGAGCACTACTCAGCTATAATGAAGGACACATCTGAGAGATTTCTAGGTAAATGGATGCAGCTTGGCACCATTAATGCTGAAGTCAATTGAACACATATATGTAAATCTTATACTGTTTCTGTGGTGGGAGAATCCAAAATTCTAAATTAGGACCAGAATGTATTCTAGATATTATGAAATAAGAAGAAAATGCTCAATTGGGAAGAGAAACTAGGGAGGGAAAAGGGGAGGGGACAATAAAGACAGGGAATAGGAAAAATGAGAAAAGAAAGAAAAAAGCAAACAAAGCTTTGGAAATGAGAAGAAAAGAATTTAAAGGGAGGATAAGGGAATGAGAAAAAAGGGGAATTGAGATAAGTCACATGCAGCTACAAAGTCCCCAAAGTGAGAATGATAATTGTGTATTTAAATGTGTATTTAAACAATAAATTTAATCAATCGAAGTAAAATGAAAAAGTGAGGTCACAGTTTTGATTTGAGAAAAGCCTTTAAACCTACCAAGGTTGCTATCTTATTTAATGTATAAATTGAAACACAAAAAGATTTTAACCAGCAAGACTACGTACTTTATCTAACTTTGTTATCAGTGTTGCCTGGGAAAGCAATGAATACTCGTCTTTGGGGAGGGGAGAGTTCAAATTATGGTAGGACATTTGGAAAATGGAACACAAAGACGCTCAAATCATGTGCAATTCCAAAATTCACAAGCAAAAATCTTGCCTGCTTTATTTATTTCAAACATTTTTGTAACTGTGTATGTTGAATAATACATGTGAAATCCAGAAATATTAATTTGATAATCTATTTTATAGGACAGCAGGATTTTGAAAACAAAGCATGTCTTTATGTTGTGGGAAAAACTGAGTCAATGGTATCCAGGAGCTCAGGAGAAGAAAGGAAATTTTACTGACCCCAGCAGACTTCAGAGGAGGAATCCCCAAAGTCTGATGTGAGGTTTAAAGTTTGTAAGTTGGCAAACAGAAGTTACAGTAATGACATACGCTTTGCTGAAGGCCGTGAACAGCGGGCATATTGTGCACTGAGCATAGTTGTATGAAACAGGATGTTTGTAGCCCAGAAGTTTTAACTTGATGACAAACTGTATGATCTAGCTGAGTTCAGAGGCAGAGAATAAAAGGTAAATTTACTGAATAAAGTGGCTGTGCTTAGCTCAGGATATCTGCTTCACTTACGAGATTTTTTTTGTTTGTTTGTTTTTGGAATTAGGTCAAAGTTATTGCTTATCATCCTCTAGCATTTTCTCTGTGTATATACATGTACTATGTTGACAGCAAGATGATATTAAGTTGATTTAAAGTGAATCATAATTCTGGCAATTTTATTTTATTTTTTTGGTACCAGGATCAAATCCAAAACCTCAAGCTTGCCAGGCAGGAGCCATGCCGCTGAGATACATCCCCAGCTGATTCTAGAGATTTCAATGTAAGTTAAATTCCACTTGATGTTTTTCCAAATAGGAACTTTACCGGATAAAATGATCTTCATGATTAGAGTCTCTTCGGGGCGACTGCTCGCCTGGAGCTCTGTTCTTATGCTCAGAGAGTCCAGGGGTGCACAAGCTACTCTCCCTGGGAGGCGAGGCCAGGAGTGGATGGAGGTGAAACCAGCGGTGCTCAGGCCCGGCCGGGGTTGTGTCTAGGCTTGGCACTGCTGCAATGCAACTAAACCCAGTGAGGCAGAGCTGCTTACTCAGGGCCCCGGCTGCAAGATTTAGGCTTTTAGCTCTCATACGAACACCATCATGGTAGTAGGACCGGCCAGGAAAGAGAAGGCCTGGTGAGAGAAAGAGCTGAACCAAAGCACAGAAATCTAGGTCTTTCTTCTTGTTGCCCACGGTCCTGTATTTCAGCGGCACTCGTTGCTGTGGATGGAAAAGACTGCGTTTTCCAAACTCCTTTCCAGGTGGCTTCCCAAGTGCTGACCAGTCAATGATATCTAAGCAGAAAATTTTTGAGAATCATCTGGAAAGTCTCCTTAGATTTCTTGGCTACTTGGTTTTCTGCCACTTGTGCCTTCTCTGTGAGGAATGCAGATTAAATTGCTGGAGCTGGAGCCACCATCCTGGGCCATGAGGTGGTCCTCAGGCTGCTGTCACTGTGGATTAGCCATTTCAGCCTGGCCTTGGCTACCCTTGACTTGTTTTAAGAGAGTAAAAAAGCACTTAAATACCTGTTATTTTAGATTTTTCTAATAAATTTAACTCAGTCTGGAGCAGTAGACAAGGCTTGGGCCTTTCAGCTGCGGTCCAAAATGCAAGAGAATTCAGTCAGGAGAAGATTTGTACTTGCTTTCCCTGCTAGGATTTTATACCTTAACAGATTCTGTGTGGCCCAATTTCCATCCTGTCTGCAGCGGCCTCTGCTGAGTCACGGAGTCAGCGAGGCACCGAGTCACAGTCTCTGACGCTGATTTCCGCTCCTCCATCAAGCGCTCTGCCCGCAGCTGGGGAGGCGCAGGCCTCAGGGCTCAGGCCCAGGTGGAGGAAGGCAGCATACCCAGCCAGCAGTTCTGCACCCAGAAGTCGGGAACGAGGCCTCTGCTGGGCACACATTTGAGATGGAATCCGGGAGAAAAAGGTGGTGATGTGATAGAGAGGTCTGGAGAGAATGAAAGCAGTGGGCTGTGTTCACTATTTCCTATGCTAATTGCAGAAACCATCCGTACAAATTCGGTTTAAACATTCATTTTTATGCTTTTAGATTCAGGTGTGATGTATGTGTATGTGAGAGGGAAAGAAAGAGAAAGAAACCGGGTGGGAGAGAAAGAAAGCAAGAGAAGAAAGGTGTAGAGAGAGGAAACAAACACAGATAGCACAGCTATGTTTACGATCGTTGCTATGGCTACCAGGAAGGGGTGACGTCACCCTCATGTTTAGAAATACAGTGTTAAATATTCTACCTTGGACCATAAGGGCCCAACTGTCTTCTTCAGTGTTATTAAATGCCGCCACTAGATGGCGGTATGAGATTAACAAACGCTGAAACTGTCCCCTGATGGTGTCTTTGGTAATCAGGTTTGAAAAAAACTTTCAAAGCTCAGGAGTACATTTTGTAGATTATAAAACTGTACACACATTTTGAGTTATTGTCCGATGCACATTTAGCCCATGGTAAAGGACCGGAATTTCCATCAAATTGTCTAAATTTCAGAACACATAAAAATGTGAAATCAAGCATCTATGATAACGTTTTTATTTTTGGCAGTTTGGGGAGAAGTTACAAAAGGAAAATCACTGCCCCATGGCATGATTTAGAAGTACATAGTTTGGAGATTTGAGTCATCTAACGTTCCCTATGTCAGCAAAACAGTAATAAAATAGAAGGTTGTGTTCCATCAAATGCGAACACTTTTCATAGTATGTCCTTTGCTGCTCTCAAAATAAATACAAATGAATGAAAACTGCTGTTGTTTTTAGTACTATTTTCATTTTTGAACATTGCTCATGAATTAGCATATTTGGCAAATATTTGTCTTTTGTATTCCTGTTTTTGTATTTATCCTTTAAATTTCAGAAAGTTTTAGAAAACTAAAGTGTTATCTTCCTCTTCGTGAGAGAATACTCACACACGAATAGCAATGGTTTTTACAGAATGTTAATGTCCACCAACTCCTGAGAGACTCTTTAGGAACAAGTGCTGTGTAACAGATGATAAATAACTGTAAGGGAGAAAAGAGAAGCTAAGTCCATAGAAGCATCATGGGCTTCATGAAACTCCTTGGAAAGAGATGACAGTCTCAGAATTCTAGTGAATTTTTTAGATACCTCCTCATTCTGCAGTTCAGGCTGGCATTGAACTTACTTTGTAGCCCAGACTGGCCTTGAATTTGCAGCAATCCTCTTTCCTCAGCCTCCCAAGTGCTGGCATTACAAGCATGCACCGTCACACTAGGCTCAACTGAATGTTTTTTTTTTTAATAACTTTAAAATCATTTAACCAATTAAAATGTAACTTTGAAAGACATAATCCCTGTAGAAGTCTGATTCAGGAGGTTTGAGCCTGTTTTTAGGCGAGTTTCCCTCTTCAGAAATTGTACTGTTTTTGTGAGATATTAGAAAGGCACTGTGATATCACTGAGAAGTACAGAATTTACACCAAAATGCATTGATTTAACACATAATTGCTGAGCTTTTGTGTGTCAGGCACTGATCCTGTTACTCTGTACAGGAATGAAGCAAACAACCATCATTCCTGACCTGGCGCAACTCACAGGTAGCAGAGCTGAGGCGCACTTCCAGTGACACAAGTTTTGACGGTTCAGGCAAATCCAGGATGAGAGTGATGTAAGCAGAGAAACTGTCTACCTTTCCAGGGCATTGCATGTGAAGATTAAATTAGTTTTCAGGTCTATAGTTTTCATGAACTATAAACACAGTTACTGCTTCATAATAAAAAGTTTCCAGTGTAATCAGCAAATGTGTGAGGCCAGGACCTCACGCTGTGTGTGAAATTTTCCAGGACTGGTTTCGTTGCAGATTTGGGGGCTGCACTAATACACAGGAAAGTGGGAGCAGCTCCACACAGCAAGGAGCTCTGGTATTTTGGAATGAGTCACTGAAGTTCAAACTAAATCCACTACATAAGTGTTGTGAATTTAGGGTGTGTGTGTGTGTGTGTGTGTGTGTGTGTGTGTGTGTTTAACAGAGCTAGGGAGTCAAACACACGGTCTTGTGTTTGCTTCTGAGACGGAGTCTTTCTCTGTTGTCCAGGATGAGCTTCAACTCACTATGCAACACAGACTGTCCTCAATCTCATGGCAATCTTCCTGCCTCAGCCTCCCAAAACTGGGATTCAGAAGTGAACTACTACCCCTGGCTCCAACCTACGGCCTGGTGCATGCTGGGCAAGCTCCTACCACTGTGACCTACCCCAGGCCTTGTGCTGCCTTTTAATTTCACCCAGAGAAACACGGGAATTCTTTCTTTCTTTTTTTCTTAGATTTGAATTGCTTTTTTGCTACTTTTGGTTGCTGGCTGTGTTTTTTAGTTTTAAAAACTAAACAACAATGACAAAAAGAAATAAAAATCATCACAGAATTTCAAAACCAAATAGGAAATTTGGTATATGGCATATTGTTGTCTTCAAAGTAGTTGTTCAGATTACAAGATTTAGGCATGAAAACAGTGATCAAACAGTCAAACAATGGAAGCACAATTGTGGCTAGTTTCTTGAAGGAAGTGAAGTTTTCAGACTGTAAGTAAGAAAAAAACAGTTATTTTCATCACTGTTTCTTCAAAATGCCATATAACCTCCAACATCCCTGCTACTCATTCATATCTTCCTTATTAAAGCAAGAAATAATGATTTCCTTTTCTAAGTTAAATAATAGTCAAGTCCCAAACAATGTCACAATACACAACCTTCTCCAAATTAAAATATCTTCACTTTGCCATCTCGGGCCCTGGAGCACAGAGTGGTAAAAGGCAGACTAGATGGTATTTTCTTTCCCACACTGACAGCGATGTCTGGAAGAGCAGGGAGCTGGTGTAGGCAGGTTTTAAGAAGAGGTGCATGATACCCGGCTCTAGGAGGATGCTGTCATGGGTTCCTCGAAGCTGGAAGCCCCTGATCTCTCCAGCATTTGCCTCTTGAGTTCAGTGCTTCAGGTCTGTAAGGCTCAGCTGGCCCTGGGTAGGACTTCTGGCTTGGTTTCCATCCTGGGATCCCCTGTCTACTACAAGGTGGGCCTGAGAGTATTCTGCTCTGAGGACCCAAAATCTTCTTCCTGCCAGGAAGTCTACTTCCTGTTCCCAAGGAGCAAAGACAACCCCAACTGTACCCTGCTCTGGGTGCACAGGCCTCTCCCAGAAATTCGACTCCATGGAAGGCTGTTGGTTGATGTGGGGGTCAGATAAGCAGTGGCACATTGACAGTTCTCTTCTCCTCTACTCCCACCTCCCTCTCCTGGAAGCTTGACCATCTGGTGGTAAGTGACCCAGTTTGCAGACAAGGAAGATACAACATGAGATACTCCCTGCTCTGGACAAGTTCCTGCCTACAGCCTGCTTTAGACACCATAGAGCTCCTACAACCCAGGTTGTGGCCGGTGTGGTCACGCTGGAAATGGGTGGCAGAGTGACCCTGGAGCTCATGCTGGACACAGCAGGTGGTGGAGTTATGGGGCCCCAGCAGTACACTGGGCTTCCTGCCAGCACTTTCAGGGCTGGTTTCCTTGGAAGACCACATAGCTGGTCTGGTTTATCACCACTCAGGCTGGGACCCCCAGAGCTTTCCTGCTTGAACTCACAGGTCTGATCTCAGGGAGTCCATACAGAATGTGCCTCCTCCCTGTGGCTGTCCCTTACACAGTCACAGTGGGAGGGTAACTCCAGAAACCCTGAAGGGCAGTTGTGCTGTGGTTCTGTGGCTTCTGATTCCTGGCGTAGCTCAGGCTTAAATAATGAACTCCCTCCCCAATGGCTCCTGATTAAACCCTCTGAAACGCAGTACATGCTGTACCAGACTGGTTTTTTGTCCCAGCCTAGCCTGCCATGTGGAGGGACTCACTTTTCTGAGTAAAATCTCATGCTTCTTAGTCCAACCATTGATTCTCCCTGGGGCTGCTGACCCACCCAGGTTTAGTTTGTGATTTTGAGACCCATCCCCTCCCCAGGCATTCAGAGTCCTGTTCCAGCCTGCTCCTTCTTTTCTCTGTCCTGTGTTCCCTTTCTCCAGTTTCTCTGTGATTTCTTTCTTTCCTCTCAGCTCTTTCTTAATTCCTGAGGCTTTTCTTCTTTTTCTCCTCACTGTTGTTTACTTGGTGTCACAAGTCCAGGTCTCTGAGAGTTTAGATATCTAAGTTTATTCTTGATTGATTTGGGGGCCTCTGCTGAAACTCTGGGGCAATATTTATCATCCCACTGAAACTTAGATCAGATGATACCTACTAGGTACTAATTTTATGCCTAATTATAGTAAATGCTTAAAAATAGAAATTTGCTTTATTTTAAAGAGGATAAAATAGAGTAAAACCAATCAAAACAAACCAGTGTAAGAGATACAGGCCTAAAAATATTACAAAATCAACAATAGTTACCATAATGTCTTTTGATGTCTTCAAAGTATCTGCTGATAACTTTGGACATAGTAAAAATCAAACAGAACAGAATGGAATAGAAACAATAAAAATAAAACAGTGAATGCTGTAAAGAACTTCAAAATAAGCTAGTATAAATCCAAAATTGCTACCATAACACATCTAGCAAGAATGTCTTTGAAATCTTTGAAATAGCTGCTCCTGCCTTTAGAGTTGACATAGTCAATAACAAAAAAGGATAAAACCCATCCAACAAAACATTGGAAACAATGTACGACTTCCAAAACAAGACCATAGGGAATTAACAATGGCTACAACCCTCAGAAGAAGACTCCCTAGATGTCACACTGCATACCACTATCTGCTGAACCTGTGATCAGACCACTGACCCTAGACCTGCAATGTTAGTGAAGCACCAAAGCACCACAAGCATCCAATTGCATTTCACCTCCATAACTATCTGTCTTAGTTAATTTTTACTCTTCGCTGAAACAAAATACCTGAAGCCCAAAGTTGGGAAAGGAAAGGTTTATTTTTACAGTTTTTGGAGGTTTCAGTCCACACTCAGTTGGCTCCAAGGCAGGCGGGCATGGCTGGGCCGCAGTTCATGGTAGCTGCAAACAGCAAACAGCAAGCAGGAACCAGTGTAAGGATTCTGCCAGGTACTAAGTACATCAATCCCAATTATACATTCTGGAACAGGGGAAATAACTACAGGGTGAATCCGAGGAACTATTGCACCCACTGTAAGTCAGACCTTTGCTAAAACTCCATTGATCACCTGTCCTCCATAGGCCCCTACTCTAACTGTAGGGCCACAGTGACATTTTGGATCCCCTGAAATCAGTGTTAGTTCAGAACCAGTGTCCAGTAATCCCTGAAATATCTGATCATTCCCCTTCCCCCAGTGGACAGTCACTTGGGCAAAAGGCCTTAGGTCCCTCTGGGGAAGGATGGGAGAAAGATTAACAGTGTAAACTTTTGGTGCATCAGAGTCCTTCTCCAAGGGGACCCGGCCTCCCCATCATTTGAGGGGTTCTGGGTCTGTAAACTGGCTCAAATCTGGGAACTGGTTGAGGGGCTGTGATTCCATTACCATGATTTGATGTAAGGTTCTGTTCATTTGCCCATAAATTTTTTTGATTGTATAAACCTAGTAAAAATTTTGTAGGCTTCCTATCTACTTCACTTCTTGGAACGCCGTGGCTAATCAGCCAACGCCAGAGGTGTGCACGTGTTAGATTATTCTGGTCATTGTTCTACCTTTGCTGTCCATTTCAGTAAGTACTGGACCCTGCTTTTGGCGATTAAGTGCCGCCACTTGACTTCTGCCACTCCAGGACCCAATCAAGCCCATTGCCCTT